CCCCAAAACCCCAAAACCCCAAAACCCCAAAACCCCATTCTTAATAAAAAATTTGGATTAGTTATAAAATGGAACAACCAGAGATGACTGATTCGTTCAGTTTTGGACAGAGTAAGAGAGCACAGAGGGGATTTGAGGTAAGTAGAGAGGTTTTGAGGGAGGGGAATGTGGGGGTTGGAGGGGAAATAGGGGTGAAAGGGTAAATTGAGGGGTGAAGGGGGAATTGAAGGTAAGGGGAGTAGGGAGTAGGGAGATTGGGGAAGGAGAAAAAGGATTGGTGATTTGGAGTTTTAGGGGAAGGGAAAGTGAGGAATTAATAATTTGTAGAAATTTGTGGTTTTGGAGATTGAGAAGGAGTGAGATTGAATGGGATGGGGGAATTAGAAGGAAAGGGAATTTTTAGAGAGTTTAATGTTTTGCTTAGTTTATTATGATTTTTTGATTTTTTGATTTTCAAATTTTAAGAGATTTTAAGCCAGTTTTGGGTTATAAATGAAGTTTGGAGCTTTTGAAAAATTCGGTGAAAAGATTTCTATGAAGAAAGACTAAATATAATTTAAAAGTATCCCTCATGAATCTCCCTTAGAACTTTATATATTTTGATTAAATAAAGGGTGCTCAAATAACTATAAAAATGCATAAAACAATATTTATGTATGCCTTTACATTCTCTTTTGGCAGTATAAAATGATTTATAATAGGCACAAACCGCACAAATACTCTTAAAAATGCACTAAATTATTCTTATTTTTATTAAGTAATAACTAATTTCTAATTAATAATCTAGGTTCGAGATCCAATGAATCAAAAGTGCAGAAGTGTCAAGAAGACAATTATGGTTAAAAAATCTCACAAGAGTACGTCTTAGCACTAAGGATAATTCTCTGCTCATTTTACTAAAATTGTAACCTCTTTATCCAAAATTCCGTTAATGCCAATCACTTTTCATGAAACATGTATAAATAAATTGGGAATCTTGAAAACAGGTTGACACTACATTCTGTGATCTGAGAAGACCCTCTTTCTCGGTTATATGGTTATTAATAAATGAACTCGATCTAGTGGATTACTTTTGGTAATCTCCGTAATTTGTTATCTACAATGATGTCTTCATTAATGATCCAAATCTATTAGTCGAACGTTCGGTACTGAAGTCTAGATTAATTCTCAAACTAGATGATTCCTCATATAAGACTCTATTTCTTTCATCCAATGAGTTTTGAGTTGTTTCTAATTTAGAGAATCAAAATAAGCTGGGAAAGAGTTAAAAACATTGTTATTACTTCACCGCTTAGATTTCTACAAAAATTTACCATCTTTAAATTTGCTTTCCTTCTAGATTTTTTATTTTTTAAATAGGAGGCAAAATAATTCACAGCTTTATAAATAAACAGATATCCATCTCGAAGAGGGCCAACAAGAAGCCAAAGAAAGGACAGACTGATACTTCTCCTCTCTTGATAGAGAGCCAGATAATCCTGGAGACAGAAGGTAGGTAAAGCTCTGAGAGAACTGCATTCAGCTTTCAGATATAAGATTGTGCCTAAATTACCGTAAATTTAAGAATTTTAATAACTTTTTATTGCTATAGAAGATAATGAAGAAGAGCACAAATTTGATCGTCAACAGATCGTACGAGCCACTAGTTATTTCTATAGATGAACAAGAGAGTTCCCTCTTTCTCTCCTCATAGTTCAAAGATGCTGCCTACTTCAAAGAAGATAATAGGAGTAAGTCATAAAATCTCTCATTTTTTGGGAATAAAATTACTGGTCTAACTAGTGTTTAGCAAATTAATAATTTCACAGTCAAAAGAAGAGGTAAATTGGTTTACTAATATGTCTAGGAGATAAAACCACGATCTCTAGATTCTGTAAAAACAAGGTAATTTAAGCATGGTGTCACTCCTAACTCTCTAGCAGACTAGGAACATTGGCTCTCGAGGAACTTTGGTATGTCTAAATATTTTCCTTTCACATATGAATATCCGTTATTAAATTCACAAGTAATTTATTGGAAATTTACTTAAAACACATCAAAGCTGATCAATCTCTAATCAGGAATCAATCACATAACCTCGGTATAGCATAGCAGAGGTGTTAACAGCCCCACATTCATAAGGTAAGTCCCAAATTTGCGAGTAGATAGCCCTACTAACCTAGCCTTGCATATTATTTCCCTTTAAAACCACCTTCAAACATCACTTTCAGACCCTTTTTTTCTAATTATTCAATTTTCCTAATCCCTCTTCTACAGCGCTGATGGGGAGTACTGTCCTCGGCCGATCCGCCCAAGCAAGAACAAAGCCATGAGGAAATTCTACTTCAGTCAAGGACGAAAGAGGTAAGTAGCCTACTATTACCAGGGCTTAGGGCCATTCTGACCTATTTCCTCCTACTGCTGGGAATAAAGCCAGGATTGGGGACAGGAGTCCAAAGGGGGTTACGTTAAGAAGACATGGGTGTTAATAAGGGTTTTATAGGACGCCACTCAGAGGTTTAAGAGAGTTAAGGTAGGGATTTTGGGGGGAGAGATCGTTCAGTGTCTAGGGGAGTGTTAGAGGAGTGCTAGGGGAGTGGGGTGGACTTATTGAGGGTGTAGAAGAATAGATGAAAGAATTCACTGTTTTTAGAGATAATTAATTGAATTTTGTTGAGTTATATCCTTTCAGTCGGTTTGAAATAGGTCACAATTTTTGTAAAATGACTATGTTTCTGAGAATTTTTTAAGAATTTGAGAGAATTTGTCTATTTTTAGAACAATTTATTTAAGCATTTGAACTTTCCTTACTTCTGCTCTTTCTTGCATAATTGCTTGCTTCTACTATCAACACTCATCCTAAAGATATCTCCTGATGCTCAATAATTTCATTAATTTTTAGTGTAATCATAACATAACAACTCTGAAATGGAAATATCGAAGACTCTAATTTTTGTGTAGTTTTCAGAAATAAAATAATCAGTCCGGAACCAGAGAAAAGAACATTCTTGTAAGCATGCTATCTTCTCTATAAACTTTGTATTAAATGCCCAAATAGTTAATAAGTTTGGACCTTTAAGACTTCAGTTAATGGTGTCTTATCAAGCTTAACTTGGGATTTATAGCCACTCAACTCATTCAGGAGATCTCATGTCACAGAAAACTAACAATTTCTCAAATACATCAATCGGAAGATATGAAATTGACATGAAACAACGCAAAGAATCTCATGAAACTGGCTCATCAATTCTAGGTGAGCTCAAAGAAGAATTTATGAATGCTGGCAACAGTAAGCTTTTCAACCAGAGAATGTTTGATTCTCTCCAAAACCGTATCATATTGCCACGGAATGCAAAGACAAGTGGGCATAAGTTACCAACAACTCTGTCTCAGAAGAAACCGGCGGCTGATACCAAGCCTAATTTCTTCATGAATTTGCCGTGCAATAAAAAGATCAAGAAAGATCTGCCTCTGAGGAAGCAGATTAATATGATCTTGGTAAGAAACCAGCTTCTAAAGATGATAAAGGAAAGGAAGAAAGAGCACATAGATGAGTTTATTGAGAACCTGGGAAAACAAAGTGTTGATAAATTTGATATGAGCTATTAAAATACTCACATAATTGAGCCGCATTTCAAGTTATTCCACCTCCCTTGGGGTTTTGGGGTTTTGGGGTTTTGGGGTTTTGGGG